ACTTCCCTAAACAAGGAAGACTCATCCCATGCTATGGGTGGGGGGTGGCAGAGTCAGGTGGCAGCAGTGGGTGTCAGGACACTGCCCAGGGGTCAGGGGCTCACGGTTGTACCTTGTGCTACCTTGAGAAGATCATTTTTGAGTACTTACTGCCAGCTAGCAAAGTGCTGGAGCTGGGCCACAGGGAGGATCCCTGGAAGGGGCTCAGGTGTGCTTGCTTTTCTTAGACACAGATGGTAGGTGGGTTGGAACGCAGGGAGGCCCCCCACAGACCCACAGCCGGAAAAGAGAGTCGAGGCAGATGCTCACGGAGGAGCAGCAGGACACTTGGATGTCTTTATTGGTGCTCAGCACAGCGTGACAGTTGAGGGCATGCAGACAGGGCACAATGGGCCCAGCCTAGGCGTGCCTCGGACACACACAAGGGGACAGCTTTAGAAAAGGACTGACCAATACCAAGGGTGGGCAGGAAGGGCCGAGGGAGGGGCGGAGGCCAAGGCTGAAGGGGTCACCTGGCCTCTGCTATTGCACGCGTCCTCTGGCCAGCGGCCAGGAAGTACAGTATTGCAACTGGTCTCCTCTCGCCCAAGGTGTCCCCTTCTCAGACCCCTGAGCCAGATGGGCAAACAGATCCCCTTCCGTCTGCCCAGCAGCATCTTTGAAAACAAATGGACAAAGGAGACTCACACAAAAGAAATGAAACTCCCCTCTGTCAAGGACACAGAAGGGGTGCTGGAAGGAGAGACAGAGGCTGCAGAAGAGCCCCTGGAAGTGCCCCCACAAGCTGGGGTGTGGGTGGGAGGTAGAGCCCCAATCTGGGGTAGGGTTGGGCTAGTGAAGCAGTGACCCGGACGGACAGCAATCTCGCCTTAACAGACTTCAACAGGCCACTTGCTGGCTGGGGACACACCCCCATGTGAGGGCAGCCTAGGCCCACCCCGCTGGAGGGGCAGGTCCCAGGTGTACTTTTCCGGGGACATCCCATACAACATGGTCAGAAAAAACAATCCATGAAGGAAGAGGGGAGGGGAGACAAGGTAGGAAGAGGACTTGGGAGACATAGCCTAACAGTGAAGACAGACCACCAGAAGCACGTGCACTACACACAAGAGAATATAGTATTATGAATATAGATACTATATGTGCATATATGTCTCTTCAATGTACAGTAGAACAGAGTATCAGACCCAGATGGCTCTGGGCCCTGAGAGTCGCATGGGAGGTTTTTGTTTGTTTTTTTTTTCCACCAGTCCTGTGCCAACAACGATATCTGAGCAAGATGCGTGCCTGGGTTCCAGAGTTTCCCTAAGCCTCTGGCTTTCTGTCTGTCTGCCTGTCTTTCTCACGTTGGTGCCGCCTTAAGAGAGGGTGAGGACTTCAGCGTGGGCATAGTTGGACGAGAGGGCGTCTTGGCAGGTCTCTGTGTTTAAAGAGCACAGGTGTGAGACACTGGGACGCACGCTTTCGGTTCAACATTGCCTTCTGAGGGGGGCGTAAAGAGTTCAGCAAAAGAAAGGGAGAAACAAAGAATTTGTTAGAAGGAAGCCAGCCAGCTGCTGACCCACAGGCTGTGGGCTAAGGAACAGCCAAGAACAAGCTGGAAGGCACAGGGAACCCAGGGCTAAGAGGCAAGGAAGAGCTGGGGTGGTACAGGGAGTGGGTGACACCTTCATGTCTCCTCTGCCAACCCGCCTCCAGGCCGAGGAGACACAGGTGATAGTGATGCCCCGTAACCATTTCCAAGACTAACCTTTCAGGTCCTCAGAGCTCTGATAGAGCAGGGAGAGGAACCATACCAAACTCCATACGGCCTAGCAGGGAGGCAGTGGGGGCAATTCCTGATGTGGACTATGACTCATGCCCCATCTCTGCAGCTGCTCTCTACTCTGTCTGTGCTCTTCCCCAAAGAGCACATGGACGATCCCAAGAAGCCAGTGAAAATGGCTCTAGAGAGTATGGAGCCATGTCATACCCAGCCCGACCTCAAAGTGATAGGGTATGGAGGGCACACAGCCTTGAGAGGGCAGGCTGGGCACAGCATCCTACCAAAATCCATGCCCTCAGCTTCAGATATCTGAGGCTTGGGTCTTTTCCCCGTTTTCCCAGTGGCAGTACTGGCTAGACAGCTAGGGAGACTGGGCTAATAGTGTGGTGGAAGTTTCAACCCCCAGACTGACTACTACAGCTATTAGGTTTGCAGTTAGAGGTGGGTATGCCATTTGGCATCCAAGCCTCACAGCTTCTACTCTGGGGTTCCGTGACACGTTAAAAGCTTTTCTCCTTTGGTAACAAACATGTTCTCATCTCAGCGTGACCTGTTTCCATATCCCAAAGACAGTGACCCCAACAACCTCCTTAAACACAGTCCTTTGGCCTTCTAGAGTTTTGGGCCTCTATATCTACCTGAGGAAATCACAGGAGTGTGCCTAAGTCTCTTCAGAGCTCTATTTCTGAGGACAAGACAGCTACACTTTGCCCTGCATTTCTAACATTGCTCTGTCTGTGTACATTCAGAAGGACCCAGTCTTTGGTCCCTACTTATCAGGAAAAGGGGACTGGCTTTGGGCACCCTATATGCCACTAGATCCTAAGACACACTGGGGAAAGAATGGCCTCAGGTGCCTTTTGTCAATGGGGAGAGTCTTTCTGGGAGTCATATGTTGAAATCTAACCTATATGACTCACTAGGATTGGGGCGGGAGCTTTAGACAGAGACTGAATAAGGCAAGGAGGTCCTGCTTTCTTGATATTTCGTGAAGGGCCGTCTTGGCCCATGGGTGCTTCCTGGAGCCTTGGCCAGCACTCAGCATTCCTTCTAACTCCTTGTTGACCTACCGAAAGGCTAACAGGTCCCTTCCCACTGGTGATACCTCCCCGATACTTATGTTAGAAGACTGAGCTGCTCAGTTACCTCTAGGGTTGTCAGTAGCCCTGTGCACTCTGGAAGGAGTTTGATCCTGGGCTGCCTGATCTTTAAGCAGGGGCTCAGTGCCCAGCTAGAGGGCCAGGTTTCTAAAAGCCAAAGCAACAGGTCCAATTCCAAATCCAAGGGAAAGCTAACTATGCCCTCCTAGTGAAGGACATTCAGCACCTGGATGGGCCTGAGGCTTATATAGGCAGCTGCCTCTTAGGGAAGCATGGAGACTCTATAAATGATGGACTTACTCTTTCTCAGGACCCTGGGCAAACACACAAGTCCTAAGAGGTAGCTGAGGGCAGACCATCACCCAGTTCTTCCAACAATTGGGCCCTACCTCTTCCCTATGGAGCTAAGAGATTGGGAATTGGTATGAGTCCATCCCTCCAACAAACTACTAGGGGCTTCAGCCTGGCAGATGCACCGTGTCGCCCAGGGACATCTGTGCCCCCCACAGGGGTTCTGTGAGCATGCCCATCCCCGTAGGAGGGAAGAGGGGAGGAGGCGGTGGGTGCCGTGGAAACTTGGGCTCCTGACAACTTGAGGGTTGCCACAGAAATAGCTACCTCAGCTCCCCAAACCAGAACAGCAAGTCAGAGAAAATAGCTGTGGTACCCATGCTAAACTGGACACCTGGCTTATCATGTCTCTATCAGACCACAGTTTCCTGGTGCTAGGAGCCCTGCTGGGTGGGACTGAACCTATCACAAGGAGGCTAGGGTCAGACTCAGCATCTTCCCCTGCTTCACAGGCTTTCCTGAGTCTCCCCACCTCACCTCTCTGAAGACACCTCCTCTGAGAGCAAGGGGCTACAGGCCCTGTAGATCACGGCTAAAGAGGAGTGTCCCAGAGTCTGATCTAACAGAACTTCCAGAGGGCCTCTAGTGTTTGCTCGGTGCTAACACTGTGTGTCAAAGGCTTTGCCCTCCAACTCCAGGAAACAATCTTGTATTTATACCTGGGCCACATTTTGAGTTGACTCCCTGGTTTCCCAGTTTCCTGCCAGGTCCCTAAGGCTAATCTCACCAGGTCCCTTTAGCATCCTGTAGGGAACAAACATGGACCTTCCTTAGTCACTCCCTTTACAAAGTTGCATAATCCGGCTCTAAAATTGCCAGGCACGTGGCTCTTCTGTCAGGTCAATCCCCATTAGGTGAAACGGAATGTCTTGGTGAGGCTTTTTCCTCTAGCTCTGGGCCGAGGGAGGGGCTTACTGGGAGCAGGTGGGGCAGGTGGCAGGTGTGGGTAGGAGCGCTTCTGTCTCCTTACTTCCCCTCAGCTGTCCCTGTGCAAGGTGTACCCCTGCTCACCCAATGACTCACAAACCTGTTGTGCTCCGGGCTCGTTAGGTAAATGAATACACTTAATTATAGAAATTAGATGAGTCTCCGGTTCTGGCAGGAATACAGAGCAGAGGCTGGGTGGGAGTGGCAGGTGACTCAGAGGCAGGGCTGGGAATCTGAGGGAGCAGGAGCGGGAGCAAACTGTTGCGGAAGCAGAGGAAGCATTATGGAGAGAGCTGCTGCAGCGCAGGGCACAGATGGGATGCTGGGTGTCACCCACCGAATCTGGGCACAGGCTTCAGGGAGGAGAGCCTCCCTGCACTTAGACACCCTGCCCAGCGCTTGCACCAAGCCTGGGGCCTGGATCCTAGGAATTCCCATCTGTGCCCAATGTCACAGCTGGAAAACACCCGGTCCTGCTCCCAAGGCAGCTCTGCCCACAGGTGCTGCTGTTCCAAGGAGTCAACTGTCCTTTACACCAGCAGAGATGCCCCATGAGACAGCCTTATTACCTACTGACCTTGGTGTGGGGTGGATAGACAGACAGACAGACAAGCTGTTTGGTTACTGGTTAATGGCCATAAGGGATGCAAATGAAATTTCCGTGATTAAAATACCAATTAGGTTTGACTTGCAGGCAACCTGAGTAGTTCCAGATACTCCATGTACTACACACGCCCTGGCCTATAGGATCCTGAGCTGAAGGTAAAACCCTGAGACACAGGTCCTGAGCATGCCAGCACCTATGGTTCCGGGAGGAGCTCTGAGAATATCTCCCCATTGCACTTGGCTGAACATTTCGGGGAGCCAGGTGCTGCGTAGGGCAGACTCAGGGATTCGAATTCTCCATCCTGACTGACGTTCCCTTCTGTTGTTTTCTCAGACCTCAGGAGGGATAAGGGCTGGGATGGCATGTAAACAAGCCTGCTTGGATATGGGTCCCAGTGGCAGAGCTGAGGAAGGTGTAGCTAAGGACCTGAGTGCCCAGGTGGGGGGCTGCTGAGGGGGTGGAAGGGGTGTGAGAGCAGGAGCTTTCTCGGAGGGTAGGGCGAGCTGTACCGCGATGCCAGTGGAGACAGCCCCAGACTGCTTCCAGCCGCTCCTGCTATGTTGTTTAGACTCCGGGACTTTTCACAGCCTTGGTGAAGAAAAGGCACATGGGTCAAAGGGGAGCATCTCCTCACCTAGGGAGCTCCATGGAGTCCGTGCTACTTCAAGAGACTCTGTAGGGTGGCTGGCCCTGGGCTGGAGTGAGGGGATCTTTCTTTGTTGGGAGTGGCTTTCTGATTCTCCCTGCCATTAGTCTCCTGGACTGCCGAGGGCAGACCACAGGACCTATATCCAGCTGACCTGTATCCTGTCCTCTTCCCCTCTAGCTTCTTGATGGTCCAGTTGCATAGACACCACAGCTTCCAGCACCTACCTTCCCTAGTGAGCACCTGTGTCACATTCAGTCCTGGCTCATGGGAAACTACTGGTTAGTGATGGGGTCAGTTCGATGGCTGAACAGGCCTGTACTCAGCTCTCCTCGTCCTAGGCCTAGATGGCTGCAGAGAGGTGTGGCGTGGGGAAAGTTGTTAAGTGCGCATTGGGAGTTTGATGATATTAATTGCCACACTTGCTTAGCAGGGCCTGTTTCCCAGCAACCCACCTGTTCCCTCTCGAAGGTCACTCTAATTGGCTGAGCTACATGCTTGCTGCCAAGAAGCAGTGTGGAGGCATCTTGAAAATAGAGCAGATGGGCCCCAAAGGCACCCTGGGAAGGCAAAGTGGACGGACACAGGCCCTTCTGCATGGCGCCTATACTTGTAGGAGCACCTGTCCTCAGGGTTCTCCTAACTTGCCCTCTCGTGGTCTCTTTCACCAAGCACTTCACAGCACAAGAAGGGAAGCCATGGTATTCATCCTTCAGCTCTGTGTTTTCAAGGCCCCTACAAGAGTGTGGGGTACATTTTACACCATTGCTGAGCAGGCTGCAGTCTGAGCCAGGCTCTCTAGGTGTGAAAGAGGATACCGTGGCATGTCCAGGGCCTGAAGCCTGCAGCACGGTCGTCACAGGTGAGGGTATATGAGCTCTGAGCACTCTCTACCTACAGCTATCTGTCTGGGGCCTCTGGGCCATCTCCTTCCAGGTGCCAGATCGTGGCTCCTCTTGCTATCACCCAGCAAGGTGTGTGTCCAGCAGAGCTGGAGGCCCACTTCTCAGAGCTTATCAAACCAGGATGCCTAGGGATCACATGGAAGGTGCCTAGAGATTGCCTGGCCCAGGTAGCTAGGGGCCATCTGTAGGGCCCAGAGGCACAGCAGGCTATTACTGCAGCACCCATTACCTTGTCTGACTCAAACCAGTCTCAGTCTGGGGTTTGGAACCATGGGAAGTTGAGAGTAGGAAACCTCGCTAGTTAAGAAGTGTCCAAAGAGAATTTGGGGATGCCATTCCAGCTTCTCCTGGAAATAGACAGGATGTTAGGGGAGGTGAGGACACAGGACAGACAAGGTAAAATGGGATCAGGAAAGAGGGAGGACAAGGGTCTGGTCCTGAGCCTCCTGCTTCTCAGCCATCACTGGCCCTTGTCATCCAGTGGTTTCGGTTTCCTTCTCTTGTTTAAGGCTAAGAATCACAGTGCAGTTCAGCTCTGACCCTGCCATGTGCTGGAAGCCTGGTGATAGATTTCCACACTTCCTTGATAGACAAGAAAAGGGCTCCTCCCCTAACTTTGAGGACCCTTCAGATAACTCCTCAGAGAGAGCCACTGCCCCTGCCCACCTACCCCTAGCCATCCCTGGATTTGTCCCATGACCATTGCACACCAGCAGCTTGCAAACATGGGTCAGTGAAGAACTGGAGGTTCTTCCAGGCCTAGGACCTGGAATCCCTGAGTCTGGAAAGCTTTGGCAGTGTACAAGACTGCTAGGTCTGCAGACCCAGAGCAGAGGAGGTGATAGGGTATCCCCTAATGTCTAGCACTGTTCTTCCTGGTGAGTATCATTGAGGGAGGTGCTCCATAGATACATAGGGGGATACTAAAGGCCTTTCTAATCCAGACACTGGTAACTTAGGACACCCATTCTAAAAGCGAGGGCGCATCCAAGGCAGAGGAGATGGTGGCCATGGGCTCAAGGGAGGGGGAGACCTCAAGCTCTGTGGGGAGGGCTGGGGAGACTCAGCTCTGGAGGGGCTCCCCACCTGCCCAGCCCAGGGAGCCATACCTTTCCGGACACTGCCATCAGCACAGGCATAGTCCCCAGCACTGAGCAGGAAGCAGGCAGCTGCCTTCTTGTTTCTGTCTCGTGTGCCTGAGCGCCGCAGGGCCCGACGCTCCTCAGGGGTGGGGGACGAGGCCAGGGGCTGGGTGAGGCCAGCTCCCTCCTCATCGGACAGCACCGCATTGGCATCACCATTCTGCTTGGAGTCTGGAGGGGACAGAGAGGAAGGAAGCAAAGATGGTTGCTGGAGCCTTCTTAAGGGAGCTACCTGGGGCCTCTCAGATCCCAGGTGCAGGCAGCAAAGGCAAAATGGTGGTGCTTGATCCAAAGGCCTTTCTCTCAGCTTTGGCTTAGAGCCTCCCTTGGGGGCTGCAACACAACACAGACATCCTCCAGCCACAGTATTTCCCCAGTGGGCTTGTCCCAGGAGAGCAACTCCTGCAGGCACAGGGTTTTACTTCCCCTCAGGTCTGGCTCAGGTAGGCTCTTATGAGTCTGCATTGTTCTGGTAGGGATGATGGGTGGTGGCTCAAGTGCCAGACATACTCAGTAGTCTCTGGGTTTTCCCTGCACCACTTAAGCAGGCACCTGGGCCAGTGCTGAAGGGCTTGGGGCAGAGCTCTCATATTTGGGAAGATATAGGGAAGAGGTCCCGATTCAGTTCTTCTCTGTGGGGACAACTTGTCTTTGCCAAAAAGTGGCACAGCTACTATGGCCCCTGCTGTATGTGGTGGGGTTAACCTGGCCATGAAAGAACTCAGTGTGGCCAGTCAAGTAGTGTAGGGGTCTCAGTGTTGAGTGCATCTGGAAGGCTGCCTTGGCCTCTGTATTTGAACACAGGGATCCTCTCTGAGCTCCGACTGGGCATCAGAACATATCTTGGATTCCCAACAGGATCAGAGGCACCATTGCAGTAGGGAACAGAAGGAAGCTTTTCTATTAAAGTTTTTATCAAGGAAGATCCAGGCCCCAGTTAATCCCAGAGAGCAACTAGCCCCAGCAGGTGTGATGGGTGCTTGCCAAGAGGTCACAGGTAAGTGTCTCAGCTCAGGCACCCATCTAGAGAACTAGTCCCACTTCTAGAGTTTAACCAGGAGCTCCTGTCCCAGTCTGCCAGCTCTCCCTAGCCCAGCCTCAGTGGCTTGACAGCCAGTCACCCTCCAGACCTGGGCTTCTACCATTCCTGGGGGCCCTGCCCATTGAATCCCACGGTGTTTTTCCTGTCTTCTGACCTCCTCCCATATTCTTGGGAACCAAGTCTCCTCACCCAGAGCACGTGAGTGGCCTCTCCATGGAATGGCACAATTTGATGCCCAGTCTTACTCCTATCAGGACACAAACACCATCTCTTTCCCTTTCCCTCTTTTCCTCCTTGGTTCCCGTCTATCCATGTCAAACCCTGAGCCCAGGCCTCACTCCAGCTTTAGCTGAGCAGAAGGCAGCCTCCCACTGCTGTTACGTTATCTCATCTATTAGGGCCAAGAGACAGCAGACGTGAATGTTGGGAAAGAAGTGACTCATGTGTTGATGCACCTTGGAGGAACAGCTGCCCTGATCTCTGGCTAATCATATCAGTGCTGGCATTCCTTCTAACTTCTCCAAGTGTGGTACCTCCACCACTCATGTGGGTCTCATCAGAGTCCTGGGGGTGGGATACTGACATTTCATTCCTATTGCTATGTTGTGCCTAGAGGGGAAAGGACTAACCTCTGGAAACAAAACAAGGAGGCCAAGAAGGGACTAGAATCCAGTCCTTCTAACATCCCATGTACGGCCATCACATCCTACACTGGAAGGATAACTCACTCCATAGACCCTGGTTTTCAACAAGATCATTAAACCACAGGATTAAAAAAAAAGAAAAAATGATCTTAATACTTTGCCCTCCTAGAGGCCCACCTTACACAAAGCAAAGCTTTCACAATATAGCATAGACCCAAATTTCAAGGGCCAAGGGAACTCCCTGACTACTTGGGAGAAAGTCCTCTGCCTACTCACCTGCCCGTTTCCTCTCAACCATACCCTCTTCCTGGGCAGGGGGGCTGGTGTCACTGTAGGTGCTGTCCCGGGGTGAAGTTTCCTCAGACTTGCAGTAAATGGGTGACTCGATCTGGGCTGGCCGCGGTACATGCTTCTTTCGCTTCTTGGGCAGCTTCTGCTTGGCCATAGCCAAGGAGTAGTACATACCAAAATTGTTGACGATGACAGGCACAGGCATGGCAATGGTTAGCACACCAGCAAGTGCACACAGTGCCCCAACCAGCATTCCTGACCATGTCTTTGGGTACATGTCCCCATAGCCAAGTGTTGTCATGGTGACCACTGCCCACCAGAAGCCAATGGGGATGTTCTTGAAATCGGTGTGGTCGTTGCCTCGTGGGTCAGATGGCCTGGCCCCAATTCGCTCAGCATAATAGATCATGGTGGCAAAGATGAGCACACCCAAGGCCAGGAAGATGATAAGCAACAGGAACTCATTGGTGCTGGCCCGGAGTGTGTGGCCCAGCACACGCAGGCCCACAAAGTGGCGCGTGAGCTTGAAGATCCTCAGAATTCGTACAAAGCGCACCACACGCAGGAAACCCAGCACATCTCGAGCTGCCTTGGATGACAGGCCACTCAACCCCACCTCCAGGTAAAAGGGCAAAATGGCCACAAAGTCGATGATGTTGAGTAGGTTTTTGACAAAGTCCAGTGTGTCTGGGCAGCACACAATGCGAACCAGAAACTCTAGAGTGAACCACATCACACATACACCCTCGATGTAGGTAAGAATGGGCTCTGTTTCTACCTCCCGCCGGAAGCGCACGCTGGTGATATTCCCTACCCGGTGGATTTCTGTCACATTGCGGTCAATGTTGAAGGCCTCGTGGGTCTCCAGACAGAAGGTGGTAATGGAGACCAGGATGAAGAAGAGAGAGGCAAAGGCTACCACCTGCAGGTCAGGAGAACAGGGAGTGGCCGTCAAGTCAGCAGCAATAGTTGGCCTCATTGCAAAGAGTGACCTCTACTCATGGGACATGCTAGTCAAGGGGTGGGATTAAGGTAGAGACATGAGAGGATCTGTATGCATGCATGCTCTAGGGCAAGGCTTCCCTAATCTTTGCCAGGGTGCTCAGAAGACAGAGGCTGCTTTTGGCTGGAGACCACAAGTCAGGGTACCATAGCTGCTTGGCCTTGCCTACTACAGCTTTGCCCAATTTATGTTTTAAGGCTTCTTAAATTGCAGTGTGTGGACAAATCAGTTGAAAACAACCATTCCAGTGTGGCTAACTCAGGAGGTTTAGGGAAGGGCCCCCACCATCCTCAAAAGCTCACAGGTGAAGTGTAGCCCACACACCACACCTGGAATAATCAGGTTCCCAAAGTGGAGGCCTAAACCAGGAACATAAAATGTGTGGAAACAAGTTATAAATGCAAATTTCAGTAACACAAACCTACTAAAAGAGGAACTTGAAGGAGACAGAGCCCAAGAAGTTCATTAGTAAACCATCTAGGTGACCCTGATACATACTTAAGATAAAGGTTCATTGCTTAGGGTCTGCCCAGAGACAAGGGCTATAAGGAATAACTGCTTTCTGCCCACTGACCTACCTCCATGACCCCACCTACCACCTATAACTACCTTGACTAGGTAGTACATCCAGGAAGGAAGACATACACGGGCTTTGGTGGTTTGAAAGAAAATGGCCCCCAACCCAAAGGGAGTTGTACTGTTTGGAAGTGTGGCCTTGTTGAAGGAAGTGTGTCACGTCACTGTGGAAACAGACTTTGAGGTCTCATATGTGCTCTTGATACCACCCACTATCCCAGACCATTTCCTATTGCCTGAAAGTCAAGATGTGGGACACTCAGCTAATTCTCCAGCATGCCACCATGTTGCACCATGATGGTAATGCATTAAACTGCTGAAAATGTAAGCTACCCTGATTAAATATTTTCCTTTGTAAGGGCTGCCATGGTCATGGAGTCTCTTCACAGCAACAGAAACCCTAACTAAGACATGGCTTATGACAGGAGATGGGGGTGGGGACAGTATCATAACAACCAATGTCTCCTTTTCTGCAGACTGATGCTAGTGGGGACACTGAGATTTGAACTGCACTTATCAGGCTTGGAATGGTGGCAGCTGATCTGACAGCCATGGAGATCTCAGCTAGAATGATGGCAGCAGCATTTGGCAGAGGGATGGCTGGACTAAGTGTCTAGTCATTATGAATGGAGTTGAGATTCATGTGTAATAACACCAATTACAGAGCCTTCATCTGTTATTCATGCCATGTCATTTGGCACTGTCCAGACTTTCACTGTCAAGGTCCACTCTCCTGCTACTGGTCCTGTTTGGTGAACGGGGCTTGGCTTCCACCCTGGATGGAGGACTGAACTTACACAGGTGGCTGAGGGAGGTCCATGGCCACACAACATTTGACAAGCCGATGTCTGCCCTGCTCCTATTTCTACTTGGTTTTATTATTTCCACCCAGTGAGCACTCAGATCTGCCTGTTTGGGGTTCTCCTCAAAGCGTCTACACTGAAAGGGTGTAAGCACTACAAGATACCAACAGAAAACAAGAGTATATGGAAATCCAGGCAAGAACCCATATCCCCAGGGCCCTCTGGGATGGAAGTAAGTCAAGAAAGGAGCTTTGATCATGACATGCACCATCTATTCTCTCCCTGGAACTATTAGGCACTCTGTGTGTATCTCTGCCTTCAATCTCCTTAGTAACACGGCAGGCAGATTTCATCTTTCCATTCCACACAGCTTGCATGCCTATTCTGGGGCCATACTGTCCAGAACAGGTAAGAACCAGGTATGGCCAAAAAAATCATGTGGTCTGTACATTCCTTTATACCATACCATCTTTACTATCCCAAGCACAGCTTCTTCCCAGGCCCAGGAATACAGGCCCTGATTACTGAGCCTGCCTCATCAGTTCCCTGATGCCTGCTATTTCCACATGAGGATGTGTACCCTCATAGGACAGAGTCCCCCATCTTACATGACACTTAAGTTTAGGTGAGTTGAACATAGACAGTAAGGAAAGGAGCAGGTTGGAGAAGAGGGTCCATAGATGCTTTCCTTACTGAGTACCTGCTATCTACTTCTCCTCCAGAAAGTAAATTTCAAGTGCTTTCGCTGGTCTCCCTTTTTCTCCCCTGAGATATGGGCTGCCGAGACAACACAGGCTACTGCAGGCTCTCCACAGCCACCAACTGCGTGCTGGTGACAGTGCCTGCCTGTGGTTGGGACAATGTAGGGAACCCAGGGTCCTGGCTCCACCCTGTGCTCCAAGAAGCAGAAGGAACCAGAGTGAGGGAGGGGTTGGGCCAGCACTTCCTAGTTTTGCCAGGGGACATGGAAGCCCAAGAGCTAGTGCTCTCTCTCTCTCTCTCCCCCCCCCTCTCTCTCTGGGACCGTTAGCAGAGTCAGCTCACCTGGGAGCCTGAGTGTGAGGTTAATTAGTGATGTGGAAAAACAAGGTCAGGCAGAGCTGCCAAGGGGCTGAACACGGAGCAGAAGCAGGAGGGAGATGGCCAGCCTTCCCTACAGTCTGCATTCCTGTGCTGCCTCTGCCCTGCAGGTACTGCCAGCAGGTCCACACCAGTTACACATGGGGCAGAAACAAACCCAACTCCTGTGAGCTCCTTGCCCCCCTCCCCACTTTTTTTTCTTTTAAGCACAGAGCAATGCCATGATTACCATAAGGTTGTACAGGTCCTAAAGGACCTATAGTGACCTACAATACTCCTCTCCTCTATATTACTCAGGCAATTGTTTCCTAAGTGGCTGGCTGGTGTAATAAGTGCTATTTGCCAGGCCTCATCCTTGAGGGAGGGATATTGTTTCACTTCCCACAAGGCCCTTGACTCAGGCTGCCCAGGACAAAAGGGATCCCAAGAGACAGTAGCTACAGCAATAGCACCCTGCAAGGGGACAGCTTGTGTTTAAACTTTAGCCCCATGAGCAGTACTGGAGGTCCGTCAATTGTGCCTGAGCGTCCCTCTCATCGGGTGCTGCACAGCCAGCCTGAGGGTAAAGCAGAGCTGAAAAGCACTGGGCTGGCAGCTTCAGCTCGGGAGTCTGTTGTCTCTTATGAGCAGGCAGGTAAACATATGTCCTCCGTGCCATTCTCTCCTTGTATGCTGGGACAGTACATGTACTCCACATTATCACTGTAGGAAGAGTGAGTTTCAACACAGCACGTGCCCAATATCTGTTAAGTACTCCATAAAATGGTGAACAAGCTGAGGTGGAGGTAGTCTGTGGGGGAACCCCCTCCCACGTCTAAAACTGACGAGTCACCAAATCCTCAGAAGCTGTACAAGTGGACTGATTCCCTTTCTGCTTTTGGAGACTGAGAAACCTGAAGGCTAGAAGTGATTTGTCCTGGATGCCATGACTGAAACTGTGCTCTCTTAGGCCTAAGGGCACAAACTGCGGATTCCAATGGAAGTTAAGACTGCCCAGGCAGAAAACTGTTGCTGTGAACTGGCTGTGCAGGCTAGAGGAGGTAGGTGGGCCTCAGCACCCAGGGCAGGAGACCCTAGCTGTCAGGACAGCACTTCTATCAGCTCCCTGTTCCCCTGAGAATGCCCCCCCACACACACACATGCTGTCCATTATGGCCTTCAAGGGACCTGCCCATCTCCAAAGGTCCAAACGTTGCAACTCTCAGCACAATTACCAGCTTTTCCTACAACACCACTGTCTTTGAACAAACAAAAGGTCACACTTCTGGGTTCAAATTTGGTTCTGTTACCAACTGCCAATGGGACTCCTGTGAATTCCTTAGCCCCAACTAGCCTAACTATCCCCATTTATAAAGTGGAACTTGAACGCCTACTATGTGTCACCATGCTGTGAAGAGCAGGAAAATCTAGAAAAAACACTTCTGACTTTGGGATCTTATATCCTAGTGGGAAGAAACTTACATAGCATATCCAATTGTCTGGGCATTGTGGAGAAAAAACAGAAAGAGGTGGCATGGTGTAAGAGAGCTAATTCAAACCGGATGGATGGCCAGGCCAGATCACAATGACAGGGGGAAATCTGAATGCAGACCTAAAGGAAAGAGTTCCCACGGCAGCAGGAGCAACAGTGCGAAGACCCCAAGTCTCAGAGGAGATGAGAGCAGAGTCCACCTAATAAGGTTGTTCTGAGAACTCAAAGAAATGACACTTGTGAAACAGCACAAAGCCTGGACTGTCTGGAATCTGGCATAGGCTGGATGAGTGGAGAGGTGACAGACACTAGTCAATGGGAACAGAATACAATCATGGCGGGGGGGGGGAGGGGGGCTGGGGAGGGGAGTCCAAGGAAGGAGGGCCAGGGAGACAGATGGACAGATAAACATAAGGAGACTCATCCCCAAAGCCTATATTAAGGAAGATGTGTAGGAGAAAGCAGAATTGAGAGCACAGCCAAAGACGCTTGCAGAGGAAGATCTGTGGAGTCGGGTGAGGGGCTGAGACGCCTGGTGAAGCCAGATCTTAGTACCCAGGCAGTGCCGGATATGGAGTGGGGTACCCTGGGGTCAAGAGGAAGGAAGCAAAGGGCCTGCCAAGTAAGGCAGCTCCAAGCAGCTCCTGGCTTCTAAGTGAGACATGCACGAGGCTCTATCCTAGCTGAGGGCCATTCCTGCTTTTTCTTTCTATCAAACCTTGGCTATGAGCCAGCAACAAGTGCCGACCTTCACCTGTGTTCACCCTTGCTGGATGGGCTTCACTGGCCTATCCAGAAACTGTGAGTCCTCCACCAAACGGAATCTGATCCAGCCCAAGTCACTGTCCAAGAGCCTTTCCTTGGTCAAGTTCCATTCTGCCATGTCCCATGCAGACCTGCCTTCCTTGGCCAGACAATCCTGTCCCTGAGTCTGCACAGTTGAGCACTGTGCGTTTTTATGGCAATGCCTCCTTTTAGCCATTATGCAAGGAGATAAGTCATTATCCTACAAGGCCCAGTCAACTCAACGTTCCACCTCCTCCCACAAGCCCCACCCCATTTAGAGGTGGGACTTCACTCCTCTTTTTATCTTTCACAACCACCACACCATCCCTCACAATACACCTAACATCATGGCTGCCATTCCTCGGCACCAGTGTCTCTCTCCCGCCTCCTATCCTACCTGCCCTAGCTCTCCTCAGACCACTGGACTCTTCGTTACATTTCTAGAACCCAGCATGTAGAGACCAAGTAGTGAGTGCTCAGTCGGTGTCTTCTAGGCTGCATCATCTTCTCGCGGGACTGGCAAGCTGTCAGGAGAAGGGATCATTAGCTACATGACTGGAGCTAGAGGTGACAAAGTATGCCCAGGAGTACCTCCAGATACCAGGGACCTAGCACCTTGACAGCTCTCTAGAGTGGGCCAAACCTACTTCTGGCAGGTCTCCTTGCTGAGCACTGGGTGACCACTTCATGGCCAGAAGGGAAATGAGCAGGGAGCAGGGCCATTTTGGCATGCCGGTAGTCCCCAGGGGCTGTGAGTGGCCAGTACTCAGCATTTAGACTAACAATGCCCACTGTGGAGGTGAAGGATCAAGGAGCCAGCTCTTCCCAGGGCCCCGATACCTAACTCTGCTCCTGCCTGCTCTTGCCTCAGATCTCCAGAATAGCCTGTTTCATTTCACTCCCCTCCCCCACTCCACATTCTTACAAAAATGGTGACGAACAGAAACAACTCATCATCCACAGGCAAGATGCTCTGAGACAAATGTTGATCTGTTCAGAGTGAGAAAGAGAAACGACACTCGGTGGAACCTGAGAGGCTGCCTGAGGCAGGGTCAACAGGGAGTCTGCAGCCTTTGGCTGTCCAGGGTGGGCTGGCACTACCCTTCTGGACTCGTATTTCATGTTCACCCTACACCCTAGCTCAGAGAGCACAGCATGAGCCCGTGCTGGCCCTCACTCTGAAGCCTGTTGTGACTACTGGGACCACCAGCAATGCCAGACCTGTAGAGGGGCATCAGTTTTGTCCCTTTGCCCCACAACCTAGTATTTATTTGTAACCAAGTCTGCCCTGTTATTTTCTTATCAAAGTCACCTGGTTAAAAAGTGAGAGTGAGGGGTCAGACCCAGGCAATTCTCGAAATGACAAGAAATAAAGCAGGGGATAGGAGTGGAGTGGAGGAGGGGGTTCTTCAGCGAGGGCCACCCCCAAGCCCTCTAGAAGCCAGAGACTCTTTCTGGGCTAGAGCTGCAGAGGCTGGAGTAGTAGCAGTTGTGAACTCCTGGGACTCGAGAGTTTGGAGCCCAGTGCTACTGGCTGTGCTGTCTAGACAGGTGTCGCTTTGACTCTGTGTTCTTATCTGTTCACTGAGATGAATGGTCCCTGCCTCCCCTGAGCCAGAGGAGGTAGCAGAAGAACGCCCAGGTCAAGCTCCTGTCACACAGCCAATGCCTGAGAAAGAGGGACATTCATGTCTAGCTGCCTCCAGAAGCAATGGGGATTCTGTGACTAGTCTCTTCTGTTCTGAGGGAAACATGGTAAGGAAAAACAGCCATCTAAGAACCTTAGGCAAAAGAGAAGGGCAGTGGCCCTTTATACAGCTGATAGCTGAACTAAATCCAGCTCAGCTTGGCACCTCTAAAGAACAGAGCAAGGAAGCAAGGTAGTCCAAGAACCCCTCAGGTAGGCCTCTAATATACTCTCAAAAGGAACAAGGCAAGATTCTATAGAGCCTAGTGCTACCCGAGCCCCTCCTAGGCTCTCCTGGGTTATACAACTATCTAAGGGAGCCTTTGCTCTACCCCAGAGCAGTGTCCATGGGAGGCTGAGAACAGAAGCAGCATGCCCTCAGCTCCAGCCACAGAAGCAATTGCAGGAGTGGTCTGGCCATGGTGAAGGCAGCAGGGGTGATCATCCTACCTAGGAGCCTTCCTGAATGGACCAGCTGATAACCAGGCCAGTAGCTAGGCAACAGGCTCTCCTAATTAGCTCAGTTCACTTTCCTTCTGTGTCTGTTTTTCTCCTGTCATAACGTACTATTCAAATGACTGGACTGTTGTATATGAAGAGATGCCTCAAGGCCGAGAGCACATATCCTCTGCCCTCAGATGCCCTCCTAGGTGACATTGTGAGTCTATAAACCCCTAGTGTTGCAAACTCCTCTCAGGGAGACTGCAGCTGATTGGGATGGTTCACATACACATCCAACACTACAGAGCTTCTGTGGGGACAGTTCTGCCAACTTGGGGGGGGGGTCAATGGAGCAAACAAATTCAGCTGCAGAACCCTCTATGGCACTGGGCCCTCCATCTTAAGGAGTAACGGGGTAAGCGTGCCTTCTGATGTCCCCTCAGACTTCTGAGTTCCATTGGCTCCTGGGTTTCTGAGGTTTATTCACCGAAGAGAAGAACCTCAGGACTCCAAGCAGGCTGGAGCAAAGAGCTAGCCACTTCTCCACCCAGCAAACAACCTCATTCAGTGGGGGGAAAGCTTGTAGTAGCTACAGAGTAAGGGCTCAGGCATGAAGGGGCCCCAGCTTTGACTAAAAGCCCTGCCACAAGTGCTGTAATCCCAGGCCAGTGGTTAGCTTGCTCCCAGCTTCAATCTGTTAAGTGGGCATCGTTTTAACTTTGTTAGGAAGAGCAAAGATTAATGTAATGTCTTCACAGCTTAAGTACTGGTACAGGATGCTCAATGAAGAGTTGTTATTAATTTTTTAATAAATTGTGTATTCCCACTTGTGTGACCAGAACAGCTCAGAACTGATCTCTGCCTGTGTTCCTCAGCTGTAGGCAAGTGTTGGCTGTGAGCTCCACAGTGTTATTCCCATTAGTGCTAATGATCTGAAGGCTGGAAACTAAGGGTGGCTTTGGCAAGACAGTAAATGTGTCTGAATCCTAGTTCTCTCCCTACATAAGTGGAGAGAGTTAACCCTCTACTTGATGGAAGAGCCTCTCACAATTCCAAAGCAAGAGAGGAAGCAGAGGCCCTGGACTGCTCAGAAATAGGGCCTCGGTCCTTTCAACACCTCCTTCCATAGCAGCTTCCTGAGTGTAGCCCCTTTCTGCCTCCCCCCCTACCCCACAACTTTGAAAAAGTCTTAATGACTTGTGACTGTCTCTTTCTTCTAGTAAAGACAAGTCAAGGGCCACTGGGGTTAATAAACTCACAGCAGGGGTGCACTGGCCAGGGGCATTAATATGCTCCCTACTTCCTAGCTGGTTTTCAGGACCACAAAGCTATAAACCAAGGCATCTAGAATAGACAAGACCTGGAAAAGATTCTAGATTTCCAGTGGCTTCTTCAAGTCTCAGCTCTGCATGGAACCTCTTGCTACCTCCTTTCTCTTCCAGGCAGAAGATACAGTGCTCTGGCTTGGTATTTATATAAGCCTAACCCATCCGTTTAACTGCATTCTTTTACCCTTCATTCTCCCCTGGGTAAGAAGTGGAACTTTTTTTCCCATGACTAGGGTGAGGACCAGCCCATGGGGTATTGAAGAGAGATGGAGACCAAGGCTCTGAGACTCATTAACATGACAACTTGGGATGCCAAAGGAACCACTCAGTCCAGCTTCTGCTCCAAGAAGCATACCTCAAACAGCAAATCACACTGCTTTTCTTTTCCTTTTTCCTGTCTCCTAGACAGATCTCAGCCAGGTTTTAGGCTAAGGCCATGAGAGCAGATACCAGACTGCAGGCTTTTCTATTTTTAAACTTCTAAAGCCTTCTTGAGGGCTTTAGCTGCCCAAGCATGATGGAGTGAATGAATACATGTCTTTCCAGCACCCTCTCCTACGTTCAGGGCAGGAACTAGGTCTAGTCTAAATCAACCTGTTTCCCCTTCTCCCAAAACATCCATTTCCAGTGTAACCTGAACTGGGGCTTTCTGGGAAGCCACTTTGTACTGGAGCAGAAAGAAAAGAGCAGTGACAAATCAGTATCATCACCAGGAAGCTTGTGGCTGGCCCCTGTCCTGGGATGCTGAAGAGACTAAAGCAGTAGGCTTTTCCTGTCTAGTTCTACATTCCATCTCTGAGAGGCCAGACTATGAAAGAAGTACATAAAGCCTTGTGAAAGAGGTACATAAAGTCTTGGGACATGGCCTGTTCCCTGGAAGAAAGGCCCTTGATCAGGAAAAGAGAGGCCTGAGCTCTGGGGAGCTCTGCCTTTTATGAGATGGGCATTCTGGAAACTATGCCCGCTTCTCTGAAGTGCATAGCTGCCTGCACACAGAGCCGCTGGCAAGATGGAAACAGGTAAGTGTCCAACACAATCTATGATTTCCTTCTCTCGATCCTGCCTTACCCCTGCAAAAGACCAAATTCAAGCTCTCCAGGACTGTAGTCCTGTTCAGAGCAACTGTGCTGACCAAAGAGGAGCAAGAAAAGCCAAGCTGAAGGCATGCCACTCACTGACGGGCATGTGTCAGGGCAGACAGCTGGGATTAGGTCCAAACAGAAAGTCCAGTGTGCAATCTCCTGATGGAGCATTGCCGGGGGGGGGGGGGGGGGGGACTTCCAAGGGCCCAGGAGGGAATAGGGAGGCAGGCAGGTACCGTCTGCCAGGTTATCTCCTTCCGACAACCCCTCCTATCCGACCCACCAACACCAGCACCAAGAACCCTTTGAACACCAAGATGGGGAGACCCTGGCTTCTGCCACTCACCCTGGCTGCCCGGGATGAGTAGGGATCCTCGAAGAGCGCCCACATTCGGGGCTGCCAGCCACGGCAGCCGCCTGACCCAGCACCAGGGCCGGCTCCTCCCTCATGGGGGCCCAGACGCTGCAAGGCCAACTCCCGCTCATCATCGCCAGCCTCATCGTTGGGCCCTGCGCCACCCCCGCCCCCGTCCGGGCTCTCGAAGATGTCCAGTGCCTCTTCAGCATCGCGGTGCTGCCTATAGGTCATCCAGCAGCAGGGTTCCACATCAGTTTCATCAATACCCCAGAAGGTGAGCTCTTCCTCGAAGAGAGGCCCACAGACGTCGGCGGGGCAGTGCAGCTTGCCGGTACGGTAGTAGTTGAGCACATAGGCAAAAACACCCGGGTGCCTATCAAAGAAGAACTCACAGCCCCCGCCGCCGCCGCCGCCGCTGCTGCCGCTGCTGCCCGCACCACCGCCATCCGACTCCGGCCGACCCCCGCCGTCGGGATCCGCCAGCCAGGCAAGGCGGGTGCCCGGCAGGGTGCGCAGGGTGCTGCGGTAGGTCTCATGTCGCGTGCCGCCCACGTTGATGATGATCTTCTCCGACGCCTCGCCCTTGGCCATCTCCTCCTTCAGACATGTTTTGGACGGAGGCTTGTTCCCCGACTTGCGCCCGCGGTAGGAGGAGACACACACCGAGCTGATCATAAGAAGCGCTGCGGGGCTCCGGCTTGGGGCGGCCGCTGCCCTCCAAACACCCTTCCCAAGGAGGCAGCGTCAGACCGGGGAGGGGGAGGAGACGAGGAGGAGGTGGAGAAGGAGGTGGAGGAGGAGGAGGCAGGAGGCAGTGGCGGCCCCTTCTGCGGCGTTTCTCTGGTGTACAGGTGGTTGGGATTTGGGCAGGCAGAGCCTAAGGGAGGAAGGAAGTGGAGACCAGGGTCGAGGACTCAAGTCAGGGGTCCTGGGAGGTAGGGGCAAGCACAAGGATGCTCGGGGCCGGGGACACGCCCCCCAACCCCAGAAAGACAGAAAAGCGCACAGTCCCAGAGCACTGCGAGGGTCCGCGGCGCGCGCGCTCACACTCACGCGGGCCACCCTTTGGCTCCCAGACCGCGTCGAGCCTGAAGGCGGCAGGTTTTCTCCGGGTGGCGGCGGCGGCGGCGGCGACAACAGCGTAACAGCAACAAGTCCTCGGAGCGGCTCACGGGGCCAGGAGGATGCTCTTAGGGTAGTCGGAGCTCTGCGGGGCCCGGCAGTGTGCGGTCAACTCAAGGCGGCGGTGGCTGCATGTGGCCTCTTTTCCCCATTCATAAATCCAGCGCGGGGCACCGATGGCGGGCGGGGCTGAACAGAACGAGAGGGGGGCCGGCGGGCGGGCGCTGTGCAGGACCAGGCAGGCGGCAGCAGGAAAACAAGCGCGCCCGCAGCAGAGAGCCCGGGTCCTGCGTCCGCGGCCGGGAGCTGCGCCGGGCTGGGTGCAGCGCTGCGGGGGCCGCGGCGGGACGAGGGGGGGCTCAGACGGGGCGTCCTGCGCGGCGCAGAGCCTGGAGGGCGGGGCTGCTCTGGAGAGCCAAGCACCCGGTGCAGGCGAAGAAGTATCCCGGGCGGCGGCCAAATAGCCAAGGACACCTGCAGGCTTCCGGGGCCGCGCCAAGAGCGAGCCTCAGCGCAGAGCCCCGGCGCCGGGTTCCTGCGATCTGGCGGCGCCGGGAGCCGCGCCATCTACGCGTCTGCCCATCTCCGGGCGGGGTGCTGGCCTTGGCTCGCTGTTAGGGGCGGGTGCGAGGTGGTCTAGGGGAGGGAGCGCCCGGGCGCCAGAAGAATGGGGCTCCGAGGGTTCTGCGTCTCCCTCCCGCGATGGCAGCGGATGCGTCGCTCCAAGCGGTGCCTTTTCCTCGCGGCCCCACCTGACCCCGGCGCGCCCTCCGCGGGGCGGGGTGGGCGCGGCGCCGGGCCGATTAGGTGCGTTGCGGAGCTCGGGCGGCGGAGCTCAGCCTTCATCCGCGCGTTCCAAACCAGCCGAGGCGCGTAACCTGCTCGCAGCTAGTGCCCAGCGTCGCGCGCCGCCCCTGCGCGCCTCCGCCGCCATCCCCTCTCGGCCCCACTCCCCGCCTCTCTCTAGTCCTCAGCTCCACCCACTGCAGCCCTTGGTGATACCCAAGCGCTTTGGACTCCTGACCTCTAACCTCACTTCATCTCTCTGAGCCTCTTCACACAGGACCTAACCTGTATCTCCCTTGCAGCTAAGCCAGTCATGTGGTTTCAGTGCTTCATTGTGACTGAATGGAAGCCAGTATGGAATAGAGTGGTCAAAGAAGAGTGTGTCCTCTCCTCCATAAACAGTGTTAGGGCCTTCTGACCACCCATATCATGGGTGCTCTAGATCTTAATATTCATGATCTCTGCCATAGTCGCCACAAGCTCCACCTTGGAGGCAGGACAGCATGGCCTTGGGCAGAGAAGTGCAGCTCTCGGCTCTCTGGTGAGAAATGTTATGAATGTGGCCCTGCGGCCTTGGAGCGCATCAAGCTGAAGGCCTGGCTCCCTGTTACTACGAAGGGAACATAGGAAAGGCCACACTCTGCTTTTGTATCACCTCCAGGTTCTATTACTATCCCATTCCTTGCAGTTTGTCTTTTCCTGTGGTTCTGTCCTCTCTCCCTGACTCTGGGTTCCTCTGGGCTGCACTGTGTTTTTTTCATCTTGGTAACACCCACAGTGCTCGCCTCTGAGGACCCATTTGCTAAGTAATTGAGAAGCTGCCATATCCAAAACATGAAGCATTGCTTCTTGCTGGCCATGTCCCAAAAGCAATTTCCAGATTCATTAGTTTTTAGTTTGTTTTTTTAAAGCCCAGAACCACACCTATATCTTTATCATCCTCCCTCTCCATCTCCTTTACTTCTCTCTGCTTCAGCCACTCTGACATAGAGGATTTGTAAACAGAAGTGCAAGGTGATTGAGGCATCATGCCTGATACTACTTGTGTACCATCTGACATCTTGAGTAGGCAGGACCTACCCATACTAGGCAAATAACAACAATAAACTATCCACAAGCCTGGGGCTTTCCTGTTCTTCAGAGACAGGTTAAAGTTCAACATAAATGCAAGGAATTTTTGTTAGCAAGGGTCTCATCATGAATGTAGTCAAAATGGTAACCAAGTGAGAGTCTTTGATGGTATGTGAGGACCATACCACTGTCTTGACTGTAGTTAGAAACATTCATTTGTGGGCATCATCTTCTCCTTAGACATGCTGCCTGTGTTGTTCTTTAGTTACAGTTATAAGAATAAAAGGTGGAGAAGGCGTGGGGGTGAGTGGTCCCAAGTGAGTGGGGTCCCAAGGTAAGGGACCATGTGGGAGAGCATAGCAGGTTCCATAGCCAGTGAGGGCGACCCAGGCAGGAGGGAATAACAGGCCAGGTAGATAGAGCTTAAATGAGGAGTTTATTTAGGAAGGGAAGTGAGGGAGAAGGGAAGAGACACCGAGAACAGAAGAGGAGAGAGGGGAAGAGAAGAGGGGGGTAGCTGGTGGCCAACCAAAAGCAGGAGAGAGAAAGGGAGGGAGAGAGAGAGAGAGAGAGAGAGAGAGAGAGAGAGAGAGAGAGAGAGAGAGAACAAAAGAGAGAGAGGGAGAACAAAAGAGAGAGCAAAAGAGTGCTTAGTGGGCAGGGGTCTGACTTTTAAAAGGGTCCTTTATACCCGCCTTCAGACAAGTACTCATGGAACCCTGGGCTGACCAGAGTACTGCCTGAGTGCTTTCTGCCAGGTGACAGGGGCAGGCTGGTGTAATGCCTGAATCCTTACAGTCTGTATTACTGAGTTTAGCTGCAGTAAAGAGAAATATTGCAGTATGACTGAGAAGACCCAGGGCTGGCCAGAGCTGGGGTGAGAAAGGAGAAACTACCAAAAGAATATTAAAGGACTGGCTGTGATGATTATTTTAAAGTCCTCTTCAGCCTGAGAAAATGGGCTGATGTGAGGGGAAAAGAAAACATATCACAGTGCCCCAGCCCTGATTCATGTATTCATTGAACACACACGACCTTCCAGAGCTATTCCAGACACTGAACACAATCTGTCGATGGAACGGCCCGTCTCCAGCCCCAAGAAACCTCTGTTCAGTTTGTGTTTCTATTCTGTGTGGTGGGGTGGTGAGTGTTTGAGGACAGGCAGGAGGAACCCGGTCAGGAAGAAAAGGAAGAAGAAAAAGAAGAGACCACGAAAGAAGGGAGGGAGATGGGAAAGCTGGCCTGGAGCTAGGGGGTCCCAAGAAGAACTCAAGAAAAAAATTGGTGAAGGTATTCTAGGAGGAGGGGGTTCAGCTCCTACTGACAGTTTATTCTAAAGCTCTGGATTAACCTGCTTAATGGGCCTTTTCTTCTCTGGGAGAGTAAGTATGTTAAGGTTGGCACTCTGAGACTTATTGCCCCAGCTCTGTGTGTGAGGTAATGCTATTCTCTTCCAATCTATACTCTTGGAAAATGTGAGCCCCCTGCCCTACCGTGAGTGGGTGGGTGCTGCCCTCTGGTGGTGGTTAACTGGGTTGTTCTCTGTTCCAGGTATGTAGAAAATGGGCTGTTTGCTATTGGTGCTTGATAGCACCTGGTCCATGGTTTCCAAGACCTCGGTCTTAGCCCCAACCTAATATCCCCAGGATACTACTCACTCTTTCTGTTATCCTTTCCCCCAAGATCCTGACAGCTTACAAAAGTAGGCAAGCCTGCCCCCCAGCCCCTGCTGCTCTTCCCATGTCCACTCGAATTGCTTTTGGGGAGGGGGGAAGAGCATCTACAGCCAGTTCACACTGTGGGATCAGATATCAGATGCAGTAAGTTTCCTAGCTAGAATTAAGGGGGTAGCCAAATATAAGGACAGAATGGGAAAGTTTAAATCCAGAGTGATGCTGGAGCAGGCTCTTAGGCTCCTGTCTCCTTTGTGGGGCTCTTGAAGAAGCTTCTCCTCTTTTACTGAGGCCAAAGGGAAACTAAGAGGCTAAAATTCAAGTCTTTCTCCATTAAGGACTTATGTGCTCTCTCTCTTTGGGGTGACAGGAGCTATCTGATCATTCTCCAAGCTCCATTGGGCTCCCCTTTTCTGAGGGGCTCCTGGCCTGTGGCTATTAGGGCAAAGTTATAGCCTTTGGTACTCACATCTCTTTCTTAGCCTTCCAGATCCTATCAGGGACCAACTCCTCCTTCTTCAGATCCAGGCCAAGGAGCCAGCATCCTTTCCCAGCATGCCTTGCTCCCTCTCAGCCCAGCAAATTGAATTGCTTTACCAGACTTCATCACAGGCACTTGTGGTAGGCCTTTCATTCTGTGCAGGGTGAGGAAGGTGGGCAAGAGAAGACTGGGAACCTGTTTGCTCAACAGCTCATTTTATTCTTCTATTCTCACCCCAGACTCCCAGGCTCCAAATCAAATGTGAGAGCTGTCCCAGAATGGTTCTAGAAAGAATGTACTAGGACAGTGGCCCAGAGCACTACAGGCAATGTGGAGGTAGGCTACACTGATTCTGACAAGGGCTGCCAGCAGAGTTGTATTGCTCTAAAAACCTCAGGGACGCCAGATGCCCTTTGATGTCCTTCCATCTCTTAAGAGGAAGAGACAAAAAGTGCAGATCACAAGCTTGGGTTGGGTCAGAACTCAGGACCCCAGAAACAGTGGCTTAGAATCATAGGGCTGGGAGGGACCGGTAGGTATGTTCTGGATGAGGGATTTCGGGCCTATGCAGCAGCAGTGAACCTTGGAAATGGTGCTACAGCTGCGTTTGGGCCAAGAACAGAGAAATCGTTCAGGCTCATGTGGTCTCCACATGTAGGACAGTGTTCATGAAAATCAGGGGAAGAGCCCTACAGGCGTTTTTTT